ACCATTTTACACCAGTCACTATAATACCACAGTGTCTCTATAGTGTCCTAACTAGGATTCATATAGATAAATTTGCCTGTGGGAGTTGTGGAATTACAAGAATAATTTTGTATAAACCAACCCTAATGTATAAAGAATATTTGCAAAACTAAACTAAGTAATATTAGCATTAAAAGCCAGCCACAACCCTGAATTGCAGTAAAAATATCAGTTTACTAGTCGAAATTGATAGCAGTACTTGGAAGTTGGGCAATGAAAGTATGGAGGGTGCAACTAGACGAAATTAATGCGAGAATAAATATTTGAACCAATTATTTTACTAAACACTCACTGAAACACACACTTGTCCAGACACAACAACAAATATGAAATGTGTGCTCAAAATAAGGAAAGCGCTACGCATCCACTAGAGAACTGATATTTCTGTCACCTAAGTGGGGAGTAGAGGTGGAATCGAACTAAAGAAAGTGCGGACAAAAATAAAAGGGACCGATGCTAAGTTAAATTTTATGGAAAAGACAGAAACGAAAGTGCCATAATTAAAGACTGGGTTGCCAGGGTTTAGACTAGGGAAACAATGATATCTTCAAGACTGACATTAAAATGCCAATTCACGTGACCTCCTTTCGATCGACCCACACGCGCAAGACACACCCACTTTTTGTCAAATTACGATCGAGAGAATCAGTGAATTTTCGCTCTGATCTTTACTTTAAGCTGATGCTTAAAGATCAGATGGGAAGAGGTAAACTTCACGTCCCAATAGAATTCCTTTTGTCGTGTTTTCCACAACACCTAGGAAGCAAAAGAACAGTGTTCAGCCTTGGTCAACGACAGTACCACATTGCAACACTTCTTGCCAACAGAGAAGGACCTTCGCAATACCAGTCAGAGGAGTGACGCATCATCATTAGTGAGGAATTTAAACCCGGCCATCCAAGAGCATAAGTAGCGACATTCCTGCATCGTTAGACTGTGCTCGTCTATCCGGGCATTTTTGAACGGACCACCTAAATACTACGTGATATGATGCACTACGGGACAACGCCTAGACATCTCAGCGTCCATCGCTCACCGGTAAAATGTTGAGAGCAACACGACATTCACGATAGAAGGAGCACTCGCCTCGGGTAAACGGGAAGCGCTTCTCCCTAGTACGAGTGTACACTTCAGATGGACGAAATGTTCTTCTGAGCGTCTTCCTTCCGGCGTTCAATGTCACCATCTGATTATGTACACATTGGGTGTAGGAAAGCATTGGGTCGCGTTTGTTAAGGATTCTTAACCCTAGACATACCCTAACCTGCCTTCAGGAGTGTGGAGGTAACAGATCACGAGATATCACGAGGGAGACTTGATACCTAACAAGAGGGATAACAAAATCCTTACTAAATCCATTATTTTCGGATACGGAAGCAGAAATACGCTAAAAATGAACCGGGTTTTTTCGGTCTCTAATCACGTGTCTGGGCGATTAGTTTTGATTTTTCCATCTATGTCTATTGTAAAGTCCCATAAAATTGTTACAGTTCTTACCTCCGTAACCTGGTGTTCATACCAATTTCTTGCAGTTTCTTTTCTGTAAAAGTTGCAGATTTTCGAATTACAAACTTCCGCCCTCACGTTTAAGTAAAGATTCCTCCGAGACCACAGACGAACTGCGACTTCGGCCTTCTCTTACACTCCCGACTGATTCATTTCCAACTGGAGTTCGGGGCCAAATAAGACGCCGAGTATCTTGTCCGTCCAGAGGAAAGGTCCGGGAAGAGAAACTATTTTCCTCGCGTCTAAGCGTAAGTCAGCAGACTTACCGCTGTTGATATTGGCCCCAGCCACCTTGTCGTACCGTTTGATCTCTTTGTCTACTTCGCCTATCTAGACATTGCTCGACTCAAGAATTGAAACCGACGACATAGGTTGAATAACTGTGTGATCTGGTAGCCCCATGTAAGGAAATTCTGCGTAGGACCGGATTTGCCTTTAATTTTTGAATGAAAGTTTCCAACGGAAAAACGTAAAGCAAAGGCGAAAGCGGACAACATTGACGAGTGGAGCGAGGCAATGGAAAGTTTCCGATTTTCGTTCACTTCCACCAGCGCACCGTAGGTTGCATACAAAAGTCGAAGACAGGGGTGAATGTACGCTCCGTAACCGGTTGCCACAAAAATAGCCTACAGAAATCGATTGTCAACCCTATCGGATGCCTTGAACTGATCAGCGCGTCTTCACTGTCGTCTTACTCGATGATCAAGAGCAGCGGGAAGAAAAAACCATCAGAACAAATGGTAGATTTATTGATGTGCAAGATGGATTCTGACGAGAGAAATTTTCTGACTCGACATTGTGTAGCAACGTCCCTAGCAGTATAATTAGTTTTATTGGTAACTCATTTCTAATTAATGTCCAAAACTTAAATCATACTTATAAAACCCAGGTTTTGTGTGTGTGTGTGTGTGTCTGTGCGTTTATATATTGGATCGGATTTCCTACATTTTTCAACCGATTTCAACAAAACTTCACAGGACTACGTAAAGTTACCTTGCGGTGGTTCTGACAGCGCCAAAAATTGGAAAAACACAATTGTTTTTGCACGAAATCAATTTGAAAACACGATTAAGAGACATCGCTTTCACGGAATGAAAGGGAGACAACTCATATCGAGTTGTACTTATTATAAAACCCAGGTTGTTTGTGTGCGTGTATGCGTGTGTGTGCGTGTGTGTGTTCGTTTATATATGGGATCGGATTTCCTACATTTTTCAACCGATTTCAACAAAACTTCACTTTTTTTGGCAGGTAGTGTTTCTTATTGTCTTGCACACTTTTTTCTTTATTTTTACATTCAGAATGCTTTAAAAATTTCATTTACAAGACAATTGTTTATAATAGAATTCTATTCAATAAAATTGAAAAATTATGTTCAATCGGTAGACTCATAACGATTGAAAGCAACGTTTTTGTTTGAGTTTTGGTTTGACCAATCCGTAAAAAAAACAAAAACAAAGCAAAAAAAAACTAATTAAGACATGCGTGTCCGTCAACCTTAAACAATAATCTTTGTCAATTTTATTTTTCAGTCTTTATGATGGTCGATACTTGATCTATCTCTTACTGTTACATCCCTGGGCAACGCCGGGCTCTACTGCTAGTTTTTCCTATGTCAGTATAGTACATTAACGATTTTAGTGTCTTCTTTAACATAACGTGTCTCATCAGGCTATTGGTAATAATGGATTTCCATATGTTATCGAGGAACCAAGCAGTCATGCGGTATTTATTCTTGTAATTGTGCAAGAAATGTGGCACAAGGCCAAAAGGGGATTAATAGATGACTAGTTTTTCAATTGTCCTATATTTAAATTAGTTGGCCGCAATCATTGACCCAGATATGGCACAATATTGCTTACCCTAAAACAACACAGTCGTACTTACCATTCTTACTACAGTCACCATAATGTCACTGTGTCTCTATAGAGTTCTAAATGTGTCTGTGAGAATAAAGACAAATTTTTTAAAACTAGCTCCAATGCATATTTACAATGTAAAAAGCTATTTATGAAACCTAACAAAATAGTGCTATCAATACCCCCCCCACAAAAAAGGAAATGTATGTCACCGAATTGTGTGTCTTCATTAATTTACTGTCTCTCTTCAGAACATTGGTGATTGTGGCTCTCCACAGCATCTTCTCATATGTAGTGGCTTAATTACATAAAGAATTTTATATGATAGATATGATGCGATGGAATAACGAATAGAGACTCGGACTGAAGGCTCAAAGAGCCGAGTTCGAATTCCAGTCAAGTTCGTTGCATTCACTTGAGTTCAAATAACCTTCGGAAATTTATGAATCAATCTCTTTTCACCCCCATCCAGATAGCCTGGGATGGCAACCGGTCTAGCAGAAGGATATGACTTAATGTATACCCCCAAACTATGTTTTAAATAACCTGGTCGATCCTTAGTTGACCAAGCTGGTGAATACAGCTAGACCAGTGAAGACATGGTCAATCAGGACGTAGAATTAGAATAATCTACTCCGCTAGACAAAATAAAGAGTTCGATTCGAAATTCTAATCACCTGAAGTTAGTCGGAGCGTACAGCGTCCGAAACGTTGTGAATATGGCAATGAAGATGAGGATAACACTTCGAGTAATGTAAATAACCATGATACCTCATCTCAGAGATATAGACAGATATTGCACTACAAATGTGTTTCTACAGAATGATACTGAAAATTCCATAGACGACGCAAATAAGCAACAAGGATTTCCTTAAAAATAGTGAAACAATTTTACTGAAAATAAGGAAACAGTGCTTGGAATAGGAATATTGAGGGCTAGAGAGATAGGGGAGGGCCACTTACATGACGAGCTTGTGTGAATAGACGGAGATTTTAAATCCGATGAATAAAGGTATTAAGAAAGATTGGGAAGATGCCCTTCGGAAGGGTACAGATCAAACTGTTCTCACCCACCCACACGTATCTATTAGACAATAACTGAACACAGGAATCTATATCTTGGGATGGTAACCCGTCTATGGGAAATATAACTTTGAATTTAAAACCTCATATTATGGTTTCAATAGACTAGTCGATCCGTAATTGTCTAAGTGTGGGAAATACCACTACACAACTGAAGACAGGGTCAATCAGGAATTAGAACACCTTGGATCTGAACTCATGTTTATTGTGATTGGGTAGTCATCGTCATGGGGACATACGCTTATATTAATGAAATAAATAAAAAATAAAAATAAGCATAACGTTGGTCTTTACGAACATTTGTGTGGGATAAGTATATGTATGTAAGTATTTGTAAGTATATGTACGTAAGTATATGTTAGTATATGTATGTAAGTATATTTAAGTATATGTATACAAGTATATGTAAGTATATCTATGTAAGTATATGTACGTGTGCCTTAAATGTATGTGCTTGTGTGAATACTTTATATTACTTTAGTCTATTCGATCTGTTATATTTTTTCTTCCCAGGTGAAATGGATTACCGGTGGTCATAGACCTCACATTTCCTCTTCTCGCTCGCCCACCAATGATACCATCAAAATTGTCTGCGGGGGTACCTGTGGGTGGTGCAGTCCGGAAGGAGGCCTATTTTTGGAACTGAAACCCTAATAAATCTATTATTATTATTATTATTATTATTCATTTCAGAAATGGCGTCATAACATTTTCCACTGAGCATTTTAGAGGAAAACAAAAGATCACACATATTTTACCTAAAGACCTACATAAGGTGTTAGTTTTACTTCTGAACACATTTTTTTTTATTTCTTTAAAGTAGGGACCGCCACTTTTTCGACATAAATTTTCGTTATCTAAGTTTAAAATGAATTTTAGCTTTAATTGAAAGTTTAATAATTAAATTTATTATTTCCAATAAGTAAACAATTCTGATGTATTTCAGATAGAAAATATATACATTGGAATGTCAAATTTAATTTTGATTTCTTAAATTTTCTTAAAAACGGTCATTTTCTTAATTTTAAGAAATTTGTAAACAAACAAAAATTTATCGATTTTAAAAATATTAAAAAAAAATTCTGACACGTTACCTTAGTAAAATTAGAAAATTTAAAGTTAAATTAATCTGATTTGAAAGAAATATTACTTACTTATAGCATAAAAAAGTAATATACAACCAATTATTAACGATTGCTCCTGTTCATATGATGAAACGTTTGATGGATTGTTGATTGACGAAGCGATGACATCTACTACAGATGACTATAAATGACAATTTTTAGAATTCTGAGTGAACGCTTTTTTTTTGAGAAGTTTTACTCTTATGTTTATTTATTAGAATACATGGACAAAACTCTTAGATCACATGACCTTTTCATAATGGCAATTTCAGTCTACCATACATGGAAATAAGGAACGTATTAAGTAAAAAAATACAAAATAAAAAAATATTTTAAAAATAAAATAGCACAACTACGTTCATTAATCTTTGCAATTTTGGGTTCGGAAATTTCGTTTCCACTTAATTATTATATCACATCCGGGGAATAGCCCAATACAGAATTTTACACGATTTTAATCTATTATAAATTATTATAATTAAAATTAAAAAAAAAAAAAATTAAAAAAAATTCTTGTAAAAATTCAATAAGCATCAGAAAATAATGTGTTTAATATTAGTTATTTACAAAAACAATTAAAAGCTTTTCTAATTAACTAATATCATAGTTTTATTGGATTCATTATTTTTCAATTCAGAGCAGATTTTCAGTTAAATAGCTCAAATTTGATAAAAAAGGAGGTGATTTACAATCTTCAAAGATTCTACTTTTAGCCAAAACAAAAAAAAAAAAAAAAATCATGAAATAGAAAGGTTTTGTGCGAAATTTCATGAAATTAAGTAAGTGCGGGGTAACATATTTAAAAGAAAATAAGGCATGAAAATTTCATTAAAATCCGACAATTACTTTATTTTTACAAGAATTTCAAAACCAATGTGTTTTCAACGGGAAAAAAGCACAAAAAAAAAAAAAAAAAAAATATCATTTTCATGCCCCCGCGAAGACGTAAACAAAAGAAGACTTTAACCAAAATTTCGAACGTGTTAGAAAGGATTAAAAAATTTCAAAAAATAATTAATAATTTGGTCTTTCATCTTAATAATAACATAAACATTTTGACGATAAAACTTTATTTTCGTTACGTTTGTGGCATTTTTCATTACGCTATGCTGTTTTCCCGCGAAAAAGTGGGGGTCGCTACATTAAAGCATGGGCTACCTGGAATCTCTTCAGTGAGTCTCTTGGAATATTTTCCGGTCAATCTGAGGAAGTTTTCTATGTCCTCATGTGCCACATTTTTTTGTGATTTACACTTCAAGATCCTTGTATTTTGATAGCTTTTTGAAGATTTTCAAAGATACATTACAGTCTCCAGGGACTGCCATCTCAATAAAGATGGCATCTTTTGCTTTTGCGGTCTCTAACAACGATGTCTGGGCCATTAGTTTTGATTGTTCTATGTCTATTGTAAAGTCCCATAAAATTTTTACAGTTCCTACCTCCGTAACCTGGACTGAGTTATATCCATACAAATTTCTTACAGTTTCCTTTCTGTAACATTGCACATTTCGAATGTAGATAATGGCCCGCTCTGTCATGCCGAGTTTTATATTTAATGGGTGCCAATACCGTGCAACCTGATTCAAAATTATTTCTGGATATTTATCACAGAATTTTTGGGGAAGTATAATTTTTCACGGTGTGTGCTTGGTAAATTCTATATATATATATAAAACAAAAAAAAACTTTTTGCTGTCGGTCGTCCATAACAATATCTATGTCGTCGCTGAAACATTCTACAATATTGAGGAGAATTATTGTCGTCTAAGGCAAAGCGTTTGAGATCATCCATGTAGGTGATTGAATATTATTGTTTCTGTTATGGGGTCCTCCCCTTTTTCATACAAATGGACTCGACCACGGTGTACTTGGACTGCTGCCCTTAAATACCCAGAGTCAGTCAGACAGAGAGGAGATATTGTGATTGAGATGGAGGTAGAGTAATAGTGTGAGGTAACCGCTTGTAGAAGTCACAGCTGCGAGAACGTAGACTCTCAGGAAGTCCTACTTCGAGACTGAATTTACCAGACTATATATATATATATATATATTATTATTTCTAATAACACGGATTTACTAACCGTAGTACCAATTGTATTATTGTGGAAATAAATTTATTTGTTTTATTTCATTCCTGTGTTTGTCATTCATTGGAGACCGGATTTCATCTCGTAATCCACCACAAATTGGCGACGAAGATTCGAACTCACGCGGAAAAGAAAAGATCAACAAAAGAAAAATCTTCCCTCGTCGTTCAACAAGCAAATTGACGACAAATAGTCGAACACACACAGAAAAAAAACGACAAAACATTTTCCCTCGTCGTACACAGCGAATTGACGACGAGCGATTCGAACTCACACGAGAAGAAATAGAAAAATCCACTCCTCGCCCACAACAAATTAGCGACAAAGAGTTACGAGGAGTAAAAATACGTAAAATCAAGTTATCATGGAAGATTTTAAAAATATTTTGGTAGAACTGATAAAATACCAAAATGACCAACAATTACAACTACAAGAACGAATGGCAGAAAAATGGCAAAAGCAATTACTAAAACGCAAAAAGAAAATCAAGAAAGACAAATAGAGCTCCAGGAACTAATACTGAAAGTAGCGGGCAACAAGCAATTAGATATTGAAAAAGAAGCAACTTTTTCGCAAGACGCAGTGTGGAATAACATAGATTTTCAAATATTCTCTAGATGAGGACAAAAATTTCGGAGATTACTTCAGAAGATATGAAGATATCTTTAACACCGACTGTCAAAATTGGACAGAGGCAAAGAAGCTACGTCTATTACTTAGAAAATTTGGAACTGAACAATATACAAAGTTCGTGGATTATATCTTGCCAAAAAAGACGAACGAATTAACATGTGACGAAGCAGTGACATGTCTTAAAGAAGTTTTCAGCCCGAAAACATCACTCTTCCACAGGAGGTGGAAATGCCTTAACCTGGTAAAAGACGATAATGAGGATTATTCCACGTTTGCCGCAATCGTAAATAAACATTGTAACGACTTCAAACTAGTGGAATTAACCTTGGACAATTTCAAATTTCTCATCTTTGTTCAAGGGTTAGTTTCAACAAAAGATAGTGAAATGCGTAGGAGAATGCTTACAAGATTACAAAATGAACCGGGTCTAACATTACAGCAATTATCGGAAGATTGCCAGAGATGTCTAAGTATAAAGAAAGACGCAAAGGACATTGAGGAATTAGCTGTTTCTCATATACGTAAGTTAAACAAAAGTCTACGTTCTACACCCTCCCCGGAAAGAAAAAGAAAATTTTATAATAAAAGAAAAAGTGCAACATACAGTACAAATTATGACGAAAATCGAAGTAAATAAAAGCCCCCCCGCCCCGCAGATCAGCATGTTATCAATGTGGAGGACTACATTGGAACAAGGATTGCCGCTTTAGATATAAAAACTGTCTTGAATGTGGGAAAAAGGGCCACAAGGCATCCCAATGTAGAAATAGAAAAAATACTAATAGAATAAGAGCTACAAGGATGCATAACGATGACAACACCAACGTAAAGAAATATGTGAAACTGGAAATTTTAAATAAAAAGATTAAATTACAACTGGATTCGGGTTCCGACCTCACGATAATCAACTTACAGACATGGAGAAAACTCAACAAACCTACCATGTTACACACACAAAAATTGCCAAGTCGGTTACAGGCAAACGAATAAAATTTGAGGGAGAAATAATCGTGAATGTTAAATTTCACGGCAAAACAAAAAGACTTAAGATATACGTCATGAAAGATACTGAAAATCTAGTAGGTATCGACTGGATGCAGAAGATCAACGTTTGGGACCTACCTATCAACTCTTTTTGCAAAAAGTTAGAGGTTCAACCATCAGATACTATAAAATTAAAGGAAGAATAATATAACCAATTTCCTGAGGTATTTTCAAGCGGGTTGGGACGATGCAACAAATTTAAGGCCAAAATTGAATTAAAAGAAAACGTCCAACCAATTTTTAAAAAGAAACGAAATGTACCGTTCGCTACTATAGAAAAAATAGACAAAGAATTGGAGAGACTTGAACAAACTGGGATTCTATCAAAAACAGAGTTTAGTGAGTGGGCAGCGCCGGTGGTTTATGTAAAAAAGAAGTCAGGAGAAATCCGCGTATGCGCAGATTTTTCGACGGGATTCAACAAGGCAATAAAAGACCATCATTACCCACTACCGAGTCCAGAAGAAATATTTACAAAGCTCAACGGAGGTAAGATATTTTCAAAAATAGATCTTAGTGAGGCTTATCTACAAATTCCAATACAAGAAGAGAGTACGAAAATCCTTTGCATTAATACGCACAAAGGGTTGTACAAATTCAACAGACTACCATTCGGAGTAAAAGTTGCACCAGCAATTTTTCGGCAAACGATGAACATAATGCTCATGGGCCAGAATTTCGCGACCGCTTATCTGGATGATATTCTAATTAAGAGCGACAATGTTGAAGAGCCCACATCACACATAAAGGAAGTTTTCAGAAGACT